GACCTGTTCACCAAAGCTAATAATCCCAAGGGAAGTAAAACAGTGCTATGAATGATAGCCTGTTTCCTTCCTTCCTTTCTTGAATTTTCTCTGGGTGTTGTATTCACTTATCTGAACCTCTAACAGATCTATTGGTGTTATACATTCAGTAAAATCTTCAGGATGTTTAGTTACCTAATGCTTCACATGGATTTTATGCATTTATGCATTAAAAAATGATTTCAAAGCAGCGCTCACTGCTAAGGAAACTCCTGGCTCCTGCTGATTCTGATTCTCAGAAGGAAATAGTCCTGGGGAGCTCTGCTAGATCTTGTGGGCTCAAACCTTCTGAATCAAAAAATATTCTGTAAATTTGCAAGCAGTTATTTTAGTCTTGACTTTGTACCAGGAGGATGCAGTCAATACACTGGAAGGAAGGGAAGTCATGCAGAGGGACCTAGGCAGGCTGGAGAAGTGGCCCCATGAAAACCTAATGAGATTCAACAAGGCCAAGTGCAGGGTGCTGCACTTGGGCCAGGCAATGTCAGTTATTTATACAGACTGAGAGGAGAACCTCTTGGGAGCAGCCCCATGGAGAAGGACTTGGGGTCCTGGTGGACGAGAAGCTGGACATGAGCCAGCAGTGTGCGGTGTGCGTCCGCAGCCCAGAAAGCCAACTGTGTTCTGGGCTGCATTAAAAAAGGGGTGGCCAGCAGGGTCAGGGAGGTGATTGTCCCCTTCTACTAATCTTGTGAGGCCCCATCTGGAGCACTGCGTCCAGGCCTGGGGCACCCAGTACAGGAAAGATGTGGAGCTCTTGGAGTGGGAGGGCCACTAAGATGGTCAGAGAGGTGGAGCACCTCTCCTGTGAGGAAATGCTGAAGGAACTGGGCTCGTTTAGCTTGGAGAAGAGAAGGCTTCAGGAAGACCTCATTGTGTACTTGAAGGGGGCATATAAACAGGAAGGGTAATGGATTATGGTAATAGGACAAGGTGGAATGGTTTTAATCTAGGGCAAGAGAGGTTTAGGTCAGATATTAAGAAGAAGTTTTTCACACAGGGGGTGGTGACACACTGGAACAGGAGGTTGTGGATGCCCATCCCTGGAAGCATGCAAGGCCAGGCTGGATGTGGCTCTGGGCAGCCTGGTCGGGTGGCTGGTGACACTGCACATAGCAGGGGGGTTGAAACTAGATGGTCCTTGTGGGTCCTCAACCCAGGCCGTTCTATGATTCTATGAAAAGTAAGAGCTACTTTGATCACAGGTAAGGTTAGAAAAATCTTTCAAGCATTTTTTACCTTCCATACAAAATCCAAGAGAATGGCACTGCTAGTGATTTACAAACAAGTCTTGGTAATAATCCTGAGTACCTTTGCTCTTATGGGTGTTAAATTAGACCACAAGTAATACTGTAACATAGGTTGGTGGTCTAATTACTTAATTATGTCACTTTAACAGTGATACACTTTTATTATTTACAGAAGAGGTCATAAAACTGTTTTCAGATGTTTAACTTTCAATTATTCTAATTCTAGCAGTAAATAATATAGCAAAATAGCTTTTAGAGATCTTCACTCAGTGTATTTTTTATGCTTACAATGTTCCCTGAGTAATGTTTTAGTAATTTTTTTTAGGCTGAACATTCTCTGCCATATGAACATCTCTTAAATCACAAACTATAGTAAAACTCTGTTGAAAATTAAATAAATGGAGAATTGGTAGTTCCTAATTAACCAGTAAGAAAAGTTTATGAGAGGCAGATTGAATAAATATCAAAGCTTCTGAGTTATATTATCTTTCGTAAATTGGCTTTTCTCCAATTAGTGTATGCTTTCAGAAGCTGGAGAAGAAGATGAAAGGATCTGCTTTTGATAAAATACGTGACTATGGCAGTGCTTGAATAATTTTATGGGAACTTGCTGCCTAAGGCATATGTTTTACTGTCTGATAGTAAATGCATAAGGAAAGACCATCTGTTTTTTTCAGCTTGAACAAATATATGATCCAGATTGAACCTCTAGAGGCTGAATATAATCACTTTGTGTTTTACTTTGCGCTGCTCCGTACCTACAGCAGCTTCCTCTTGTATTGTACGTATCATGGCACACAGTTCAAATGTTGTCATTCAGAAATTATTTTTCTTCTGTTAAAGGGATGTGGGATGCCTATGCAGGGCTTAATACAAACCTCTGCCCTTCATTCATCTCTGGAAAAACAGTTTCTGATACACTTTGACCACCAGGCCTTCAGACCTTCAGGTTTTGTTTTTACTGGACAGATCCTTGTTGAGGTCTTGCCAGGTAAAAAGTATTGCTGTGTTCTCCATGTCTTCAGCTCTCGCTATGGAAAATTGCGAAGCTTTCCTTCCGTGGGTTGAGTAAACAGACTAAATTAGAAAGCTTGAAAGTGTTTTCCAACTATTGCTTTACTTTGAAGGAAGGAAAGCAGGTCAGCAGTAAATATACTACAGAAAATATTCCAGAACACTTGATTTTTTCCTCTTTTTGCTAGTATTGTGTTTTACAGCACCTAGTTTGGCAAAGCTAACAGGACTGGGTTTCTCTCCTCTCCCAAAGTGCTTACAGTTTCATTTTAGACATAAAATGCTGAAGAGAAAAAAGGAAAGAAGTGTTCAGCATTGAAGGAAGGAATGAAGGATAGAGGGGCAAGATTTGAGTGAGCAAGTGGATAAATGCAGACATTTTTCTTTTGTTCTTTAATAATAATTAATAACAATTTCTTGTAGAGCTTCTGGGAAAAGAAAAAAAAAAAAGTGAGAACAAAAGGTAGTGAGGAAAAATATCTTTCCAAGACCATTTTTACATATTACTCAGGGGATTGCTTCTGCTTTTCACGGATAATCGGCAGACCTGCATCTCCCAGGTGCTGATCTAAACAGTGCACCTGGCTTTTCTGAGTATTTACTTTTGTTTTGATTAATACACTACTTAACTGTTCTGGTTCCCTCTCTTGACTCACTTTTCATGAATTTACATTTCGCCAACACTGATCTTCTAAACCACAGTGCTGAGGAACTGTGTCAGTTCATCATGCATGCTGGGTTCATGGAGCATGGTTTTGTGACTGCAGGACTGGGCTGGGACTTAAAACGTTCAGGTCCACCCCACAGTTCTACTGAAGAATTCCATGCCTCAGGAGAGTTCCCTTACCTTTTCTGTGCTGTGGTCTCCAGCTGTGATATGGAAACAACAAACTTTCTTCTTTTCCTACAGCGTCTGTTTTCCATAATTTTTTTACATGAGATTTCTTCCAAGTGAAAACTTGTATTATGTGCTTGACACTGGACAAGACCCAGTGCAACGCAGGCTCAGATTTAGTTGGTATTACTGGAATACAGCTAAACAAGAGCAATTTTTAATACATAAGAGCAAAGAATACAAGAAAATAAAATTCTAACTGATTCAGAACTGAGGATAGCCAGCAAAAGGAAATGACAGTATTTTACTGTAAATTCTTAGTCACTTCTTAATTTTATTTTGCCCTCCATGCAGGCTTAAACTAGGAGAAACCACATTTATGACTATGCCAGTAGGATGTAATTATAGGAGGTTTGTATGTGAAAACTGCAGTAGCTAAAACTACCAGCAGTGTTCTGGGAGATTTCCCTTTTAAAACAGTAGTGGGGGGGAGGGGAGCAAAGTTGCTCAGGAGTTGAATTTTTACCACTTGGACCAGTCTTTTATGAAATCTTTTAGCATAAATCTGCTGATCTCTTTCTTTAGACTGGAAGATAGACTTGTCAATGGCATGTGACCATTGCTACCCTCCTGCATATCTTGATACCACTGTTTTATTTACAGCTTTTGATAGAGCTTATCCACAAGATCCTATCAGGTTTGATTTTCAGAGTGAAACTTCATCCCAGCAGTTAAGTGATGTGCTACTAGATATGCCACCAATGTATTATTGCATTGCACATTAGATTTTCTAATAGAAATTACAAAGAAATACTTAACGAATTTGTTTGTTGCACTGGATGTATTACAGTGCTCCTGCCATATTGGAAGATTGGTGTGTTATAAAGGGAAGAACAGTTTTTAGCTCCTGAAGAACATGTGGGCAGATGCAATAATAGTGATGTTTGTAGCCAGTAATTTGAATGAAAGAATAATTTAGGTTTGAAAGGGCCTTTCAGGTTATGTAGTCCATGCTCCTTCTCACAGCAGGTAATTTCCAAGTCGGAGGAAGGCTTTTTCCAACTCCATTCTGAAAATCTCCAGGGGTACAGATTGCTGAGCAACTTTTTTAGTGCTGCACATTCTCACTGTGATTTTTTTTTCCTTATAATTAATCACAGTTTTTCTTCATGCAAATGACATTTGCTCTGCGTTCCCTGTAACCAGAAATAAATAGTTGAGGCTGAGACCTGCTGTTGTCCCCTCCTTCTTCAGGTTGGGCAAAGCCAGCTCCGCTCAGCCTCTCCTGTGTGTCTTGAGTTGCAGCCCCGGGCCACCATTCTACTGAGTGAGCTTGGCACTAGAAACACCCCACATGCCCCAGTGCTTTTCTGAAAGCTGCTCTGCCTTCGGAATGATTGTGTGGATCAATGGCAACTCATCCCATTGAAGAGTATATGCCCCATCTGTATCAAACAGATAATTTTTGTGCTTTGCCTCTCAAAGAGATTTCATCCCTTTTGTTTCAGGAAGGAGTTATTCTCTTTCTTGCAGGTATCTACCTGCATTAATATTGAGTTAGAGTAAGAGTCTAGCAAGAGTCCCAGCAATTCAGACGGAAGTCAAAGGCCTGCTGTTTTTGAATGATTGATTACTGAGCATAACTGATAACTATCAGTTATCTGACTCTACAAAACTTGTAGTTACTTGCAGTTACTTGCAAAAAACAGTACAAGTGCTAGAACTTGCAATGTAGAATATATACCACTTTGCACAACAGATGATTAATCTGTGAATGTGCTGCTTAGTCAGTCCATGGTAATGAGGGTGAAGTGAAATTCTCTTCTGATACATTCCACAGACAACATTTTTTCACCACCACAATGGCGTTGTTATTTGCAAAGCAGCCCTATAAGAAAAGGTATTCTGTATCACCCATGATATATACTTCGGGGTAATACCAATTCTTCAGTGTCCATGAACACTGTCTGCTATATGTATGCCCTCTGCTGTGAGGAACAGGCATGGGATTCAGAAGAAATTGTGCAGTGATGCTGAGTATTTGCGTTTTCTTTGCATAGAGATTTGGCAGTATGTCGGTGCTTTGTTTCATCTGCATGTGTTTGTCAGTACCATGAAACGTGCAAGCTCATGCAAACTGAAAACAGTCATGTTTTCCCAGTTGTGACTGCATGACTTGTGTAAGACCCTCTTGATTCACTCCTACATTTTAACTCCTTCCATTGATATGTTCCTAGAATGGAGCCTAATCTTTTAGGGCAGTGATACCACAGCCCAGCTGCCTTTGAGCTTCTTCTTATTAAGGTCTCTTGCTCAGAAGGAAGTTGATTAATATGGGAAAAGTCATAACAGTTAGATGCAATATGTACAGTAGGTCTTTGATTATCTCATACAGCCCACATCTGTGTTCTACAGTGGGAGAAATGATCCTTTGGACTGGGGAAAGGTGTCTCCTGTTGGCAATCTTTCTTTTGAGCGACTAAGAGTGGCTGTACTGGATAAATGTATAGGACTGATGTGTCAGAAGTAGCATCTGTGTATATGGGATTTCTTTCCATTAATTCGTTAGTGCTGCACAGAAGTCTATAGAATTATGAGGAGGCTATTTGAATGTCTTTAGTTAACCAAGTAGTAATTGAATTTATTTCTGTTGATGAGAACTGTTAATTCATAGTCTTCTATTAATGTTGGTGGAGAAGAATATAGATACTGGATCAGGGTTCTGAAAAATATTAATTGCTAATATTTTTTCTTTTTCAGTTTTCTCCTTGTGTTTGGTTGCTTGATTTTGTCCGTGTTTTCCACTATTCCTGAACACACAAAACTTGCCTCTGGTTGTCTCTTCATTTTGGTAAGTGAAACTTCTAAATACAAGACATCTTTTCAAATACAATAATGTACTCCCACATTCTCTCCTCCACCGTGGAATTCCTGAATGCTTTAAGAAACCATACTTTTCATTAGAATGATGACATAATAATAAAATACAAGATTCCACCATCTTTTTCTTTAAAAACCAAGTCAGAGTGTATGTAAGTGTTGTATTACATCTTCTTTACTTGAGAACTGCTGTGTTTTATTACTGATACTTTTTCTACTGCAGTTTGGTATTGACAGAGAAGGAACGACCTTTCATACTTCATAAAGTATGTTCATATTAAAAGGCACTTAAAATAGGAAATTGTTTTTTCTTAGATACCAATTTCTGGTAGCTGTTGGTAGATACTGACATTTTAGTGGCAGTTGCAGCAGTAGGATGTGATACCTTCATTATTTTTTCATATTACATGATTTCGTATTCTAATTCTTTCTTTTTCCCTGAGCTACATATAAATGGCTTTAATCCCTAAAACCGCCTAGCATTTTTCGTATATTGTATAGATGCTTTATTAATCTGCTTCTTGATGGGCTGTTTAATTTTGCAAGTGATGGCCTGAGGATAAGTGATAGTGGTCATTAAAATATCATTGTATTCCTGGAGTTACTATGGTTATTTCAGTTCCATGCATACAGAAGACTGTGGCTTGTTAGTTAATGCCTGAGGTGAAGTAACTGTTGACAAATGCCAGCATATCAATTGTCATCGCTGTATATATCTGAAAGCACTGGTCTTTAGAACAGCTTCCCAATTAATTATAACATAAGCAGTCTGATAAACATAATTGCAGTGTGTGGTATGCCTCCAGAGCACAATGTACTACCACATCAGTATATCTGAATGAAATGACTGTAGTTGGCTAGGTGCAGAAGTGTGCCATTCTGCTCCATCTCATCATTCTGCTTCTTAGCAGGGCTCATTAGGGAGAATCATGCTTAATGTGGCATTCTGCTTCCCAGCCATGTTATCCCTGTTTCTGGATAAAATATCACATGGCATTAAACCAGCTGAAAGTGATGGGATTTAATTCTTTACTAATATCTACTTCCATTTCTTGCACAGTTGAGCAACACTTTGCAAATGGAAGTTTGTTTGAATGCTCTGTAACTGTGTTATTGCAATTATTACACCAATTGCTAAGATTTCCTGGTACATAAAACAGGAAAAATTGTTTTGTCTGAAAACACCCAATTTCTGATAGAAAGTAATTTTATGACAGGTAATTTGTTTCCCTCTATACTTATGCAAATTGCTTGCAGAAAAGCCATTTGTTCTGACATAAAATATGCATTTCCCATGAGTCACATACTTGTTGGTTGTGCCGGTATGCTTACTGCCAGTTCCTCAGCTGGCTGATACGCATGTTCCCTGTGGTTTGCTGTGGTTTTTTGTGGATTGCCTGGGAGTTTGACCATGGAAGAGTTCTTTGAAGCTCTGGATTTGCTCCCATGGACAGGTTGAGGAATGTGAGCTCTGTTAGCCCATGTCCCGGTCCTTGCAGAGTCCTTGTAGCGGAGCCCATCAGCAGATAGGCTGCTCGGGACTTGAGAAGGGAAACTCCGTGAGGCTTCCTGCTTCCATGGTCTCAAAGATAGAATGGCTGAGATGAGCAAAGCCTGAATTAATGTTTTCTGCCATCCTTCCAACACAGAAATGACTGTAAGGAGGAAGAGCATGGATAGTTAATACTTGAAGCATCAAAGCTTTAGCAGCTTGGTCCAGCATTTCTGTGCTGTAGCCTCATGTGTTCAACAAACCCTTGGCAGGAATAAATCTAGTGATGACAAATTTTATGGCTCCTGCTGTGGGTCTCTAATGGAGAAAAATATAAACACAGCAAAGTATGAAATTCCAGAAGCAGGCTAAAACTGACTGGTTTATTCCAGTTTATTGGTATGTGATTTGCTCCTTCTCGGCATACTGAATCATTAACTGATATTAGTAATGTTATCAAAGCAAGTTATTGCAAACACAAAATAAGAAAATAATGCAATTCTGCCCTAGCTCAGGAAGAATTGCTTTGGCTGTGCCAACAAATAATTAGTCACTAGAGTTTCCACAACCTTTTACTTACGGTGATTCACACTATTCCTACAAGTGTGTTGTTTAGTACAGACAGTTGTATTAACTGTCAGAGATCTGTTTTAATACCATTTTGCTTCGTGCTCGAGATGGAAGATGGATGTTTATTTTCTAATGAAGTACAGTACAATAATCTGTAAAGCTGCCTGCTGGGTTTCTGTGAACTGTTTGCTTCACAGATTTATTCCAGATGGTACCCCCTAGAGCCATGTTAATTGGCTAAAAAGTTAATGTAATGTTTCTTCAACTTAATACCTGAGCTGCTGCCTGCACCAGCTCCTGTGACTTTTGACATATTGCAGCTATTAGCAATTACATGGGAAGGTTAAAAGGGAAGTATAAATGAAGTAAGCAAACCTTTTTCTCCTTCCCACAAAGGCCAGAGGAGCCAAGAAGATTCTGCAGTCAGTCATTCCATGACTGTCTCCCTGAGCCTCACCTTACAGGGGAGCAGAGAACACAGCCCCGAATCATTGCATCTTAAACGCTCTCTCAGAAAAAATACAACAGAGTTCAATAGGTCTGCAATAGCTCTAAGTAAATAACTGTTTAGGAAAAAAGCATTAGCTGAGGGCTTCTGAGGGTCAGCAGTAGTTAATGGACTCATCTGGGCTGCAGAAAATCCCAAGCCCTGCTCCCTGGGCCAGCACAGAGCTGCCACACCGTGTCAGGCTGCACCCAGCCAGGGCTTCATTTCCAGCATCTGAACAAGCACTGCTGGATTCCTAGGCACCTTCTGCTTATCAGGGAGCCTGTCAGGGGAAATGCACTCAGTACTTGAGTTTTATGCTTAAAATGAAAGTCCTTCCGGTATATGAGTATATGAACTGTTACTACATCAGTAATGAATTTGGTTAGGTTTGCTTTCGGAAATAATAAGCCTAACCAGATGGAGAGCATCAGATAAAACTCCTTGTACCTACAGTTGTAATTATGCTTTAGCCTCATCTGTGCACATAACTTCTGACATTCAAACTGCAGTAGTGATATATCCCAGACAGACAGTAGAAGAAAATCTACTTCAACATCAAAAAAAGCCACAAGCAGCTGAGGAATCCAACTAACACAGCAAGAAAATAATCTTTGGCGTATTGCTGATCTCCTGCAAGTACATTTCCTGGCACTTTATCAAATGGTAAACACAAGGGAAGTAAAACTTAGGCTGGGAAGGCAAAATCAAATCTTTTGGGAAAGGCAGCCAAGAGGAAAAATAACTGGAATCAGAGGGCATTCACTCTCATGACCAAACTTTCTGTATTTTAAGATCATTTTCAGCTAAAGCTATGCAAATAGCTTGTTCACTTCTATTTGTTTGCTGTCTGTTCAAGAAAACATGAGATGACCCATAGAAAGTTGGCAAATCAGAAGTCCAGAAAGTCTTGTATCAGATTAGATGTTTCATTTGACCTGGCATTTACACGTTTCTTCTTTGAGTGTTTTAGAACTTCTGGCTTAAAGTAAAAAGCTGTAGAAAAGCAATATCATTTTCATTTGAAGTGGCAAATAATTCCATTTTTTTCCATAATTTTCATTTTTAATCAAGACAGAGAAATCACAAAACTCATGAATTTCTCTAGAATTGGTTTGACCAAATCTGTTTTGTCTTTTTCTTTGAAAAGGACTGGGATGGAAAACTACAAAAACTACAGTTCTACAAAATAAGGGCCTCTGAAAATGTACTCTGGGAACATGTTCTTCAGTCAGTAATAACTCACAGAAACATAAAAGCAGACAGTGTACAGTAGGTGAAGCTAGCTTCTGTGCTTACTGTGGTCACTTACATGGATCCAAAAGGAGAGTCTAGTGAGTGCTTCTAGCAATTAAGCTCTTCTCTTCTAATATTTCCCCATAAATGAAATGTAGAAAGAGGATGATTAAAAAACATAGCATATAGCTGCTCTGTAGCAGGCAAGTACGTATTCAATTATCTTTGGTCTAGAAGAGTGAATCCATCCACCAGAATGTAATCAAATAAAGGATAGCTACAAAATTTTAAGGCTAAGCAGAACAGATTTTACAAAATGGTGGATCATGCTCTATTCACATCATTTGGATCCGTTGTCCCACAACTTGAATCATCTTGTGACAGTGTAACAAAGACCATGAGACATCAAGAGAGAACAGAAGAGATGATAGTGTTGGCACTCCAAACCCATCAACAAACCTCTAAAACTAATAAACACACACTGTAGGTAAGGTAAGAAAGTAAAATAAAAATGATTTCATAACAAAGAAACACATCACATAGAAACTACGAAGGTATCTGAAAAATCTGTTGTCAGCAGTGCTTAGGGTACAGTGTAGATTTCTTATATATATGCATAAAGTCAGTAGAAAGGATGCTGGTACTAATAACAATCACTTTCTGACTCTTTTTGTTTCCTAGCACAGAGAACTAACATTGCTTCAAAGCCAGAGAATGCGTTCTTAAGAAAAGACTGCCATTATTGCAGAAAGGGCCTTCTAGCCAGCTATTCAAGGAGACACTTTCATAGAATCATAGAATCACCAAGGTTGGAAAAGACCTAAAAGATCATCCAGTCCAACTGTTCACCTGTTACCAATAGCTCCCACTAAACCATGTCCCTCAACACCACATCCAGTCTTTCCCTAGGAGAACACTCACAACTTGAGGTTATGGAGATTAAGAGTGGGAAATGGGGAAGGATTAGAAGTTACTGATGAGAAGTTACTGTCATGATTCAGATTAACAGGAGTATAATTCTTTGAGGAGAGAGAAGTACATCTCATTTTAAACGGATCAACACAATTGTGCTAAAGAACCGAACCAACTGTCCAGGACTCCCTTTAAGGACAACCAAGCATCATTCCTTGCACAACCACTCTTCCTTTTTATCATTTCTTCTTTTTATCATTTAAATGATAATGTA